GGTTGAATTTTAACTGCCACACCACTTATTACCTTTGTCTTTGGCAGTTTTGTGAAAAAAAGATAAATATGATAGACCAGAAAAAAAAAAACTATGTTTGTTTCTCGGGAAAGGTGGTGCAGGGGTCGAGGAGGATCATATTCTCCCCCCTTCCAGCATATCCATGTGGATTGTGGAAGACCAGTTTTGACCCTTTGATTTCATAACATCTTTACAACTACTCGTAAACATGGGAAGGGTGGGGGAGGGCAGTTTCTTTTCGTTTCTTTTTTTTTTTTTTGGGGGATTTTCTAAATAAATCCCAAGAAAATTCTTTTCACATTTAATTTTTTTTAAGTTTTGAATGATCTGCAGAAAAAAATTTTGTTATAAAAGAAAAATATTTTAGGCATATATAGAAATTTTCTTTTTTTTTCCTAAAAGAATGCATGAAAAATTTGCAGTTAGCACAGTGGAAATGAGTTCATTTACTCTAAAAATTAAAATGTCAATAGTTGAGGTTGTAATTGAATGGTTTTGGCATAAATGAGCTTGATTTTGAAAATCATTAACTGATTATAGCTACGATTATATTGATAGCATTTAAGGTGAAGATATGCGTCTATAAATATTTTTAAAAAATATAATAGTAATAATAAATGAAATAATATTTTATATGCTTTTAGTGTAAATTTTTAATTTCATAAATAATATTAAAAATTTGATGTATAACTTATTTTATTTTAATTTATTTTTTTATTTTTTTAAATATATCCTAAATCGTGTATTTGATAATTTTTTGTAATAAAATAATTTTTTTTATTTTTTTTCATGATATTTATTGTTTTATTTGAATGATCTGCATTAGTTTAAAATTGATCATATCCAAATAATTTTTTTTTCACCTTTCATTCAAAGTTGAAACGAAATCTAAGTTAAAAACACATTGTTTAGCTGAAATACTTTCTCCAACTTTAGCTCTAAAGTAGTACAAAACCCTAAACATTCACCCAAGAGCATATTGAAGAACTTGTCATTTTTCTTTAATCTTTACAAAAAATTTTCTAATTTTAGAGAGTTTTAACGTTTAATATGATCTACAAACATAAACATTAATGTTTGCATCCAATTTCATTCTTTATCTATTAAGGAGATTGCTTTCAAAGAGTTAATACCATTTAGCATTTTTTTTCAATGGGTTTTACTTATTCATCTTTAAAGCAAATCAACCAGCTAGCATCAATCTCCTAAGTTATTTTTAACATATGATGTTTTTAATATTTAAAATAGAATGTTCGTCTCAAAAAGTTTCACTTATTACGTTTAAAATTAACAACAAAAGATATCGATAAAATTTAAACTTAAATAATCTTGTAACAAGATGAATGAACTTGAATATTAAACCAACACTCCATTGGCTTTTTGTTGATTACTTGCACGTCAAACACAATTACATGTGTCTACAAATTTTATTACTTAAAATTTATACCATACAATTTCCAAACACATAATTCGCTTCAAAAATGTCGAACAATATCATAATTTGAATTCTATTTTGAAGATTTCGGGTATGAAATATGATAATGTACATTGCATTGCCTTGTTGTTGTGCTTGTAACAAGAAACAAGAAACTAGCTTGGGTGGGTTCACGTGCATGTTGTTGGATTTTGGTGTTTTCAAGTTTCAACACATGGAAATTAATCTTTAACCAAAGAAAGAAATTGTTTGCATTACCCAAAATCAGGTGAAACTGAAGTTATATCTAGTTCCAAAGGTGCAGATAACTGACAGGAGCATGTGAAAAATGATGTTTTCTTCTCAGCTTGAATTCCGGGTCCTCTCAAGACTGACAGGCCATGGTTTGGGTCCCTGACGAATTTAAGATTTTTATATAAAAATTGCCTACGGATTTATAAATTTTATCCATAGATAAAAATAATATTCAGAAAATTTTTTTATTTTGCAATCTTTAAACTATATATGAACATCCTACCCATTTGGATCCAGGAATAAAGTTAGTCTTGAATGGTGTATTGGTCTCTGTACAACTTTCAGGTACTCTTTAAAGAATCAGATTCTTTTCAAAATATTCATGGCAAAACACTTGTAGAAGAACATTTTTTTTTGCAGAAGGCCCAAGCCATAAAGGCCTATGTTTTTGTTTTCGTTGCCAACGTATCACTTTCTAGGTTTCTGAATATTCTTGCAATATTTCATCTTCCTTGCCTGATAACTTCCCAAAGTCATGTATTCACAAACAAGTTTTGGCAGTTTTTAATCATGACTAGATGCAAATTCTTTGGTGAATCATTTTTTAATCAGTGCTTAAGGCAAATAATTAATGTAAAGATATTTATATCAGCTGGAGGTGTCTTCCAATGGGAAGAATTGTTTCTTGAATATTCTCCATAAAAGAACTGGAATCAGATTCTACCCTTTTCACTAAAACATGCAGAAAGAAAGGCTCCTCTCGTACAGAAGTTGTATGGGGGACATATTTGCAATAACCACCGATTTGTATATCCAGTAACTCATTTCAGCATCTAACATTGACTGCTTCCAAGCCTTGCAATTGCAATTTGGGACCATATAATTTTGACCTTTTGGGCATATTAGTATTCTTCGGAGAGTGTCTTGTCCCTAGCACATGGAATGAAACCGCATTTTCTCTGTTTGAAGAAATTAAAAAGAATATATGCCATCAATTTCCAGGATTACCACAGGCTATTGAAATCTAACATTGTTCGAGCAAGGTCACGTAACACTCAATCACAAAGGTAAATTAATACTTATCTACAGTTGGAGCATAATTCAGATTATCATTACATGCATGTGTGTTTTTAAGGTTAATAATGAATCCTCTTGTTTGTGAAATTAAGCTGTTTTCCGGGGATAAAATCCTGAAAAAAAAAAAAAAGAAACAAAGTCATTAAAGACAAAGACTGTAAGTGATTTTAATGTTTGAATTCTAACACTTAAGTCAAAGATGGATAAAGGAAGATAATAAAGAAGAGAATGTAAGAAAATAAAAAGAGTAAAATAATAAAATGATACCTAAATGATCTTATTTATATTTATAAAGTTAGAGTACATAATCCAAAATGATCTAATAGATCAATTTGACTTGCATGTTGACTGTCCAATTTGAGAATGACAAGTCAACATTTAAAAAAATTTTTTAAGTAAATTGATGAGGTGATCAAATTGATATGATCTCATGAAATCAGATTAGCTTAACATGTCAATTCATATAAAATTTAAAAATATTCATAATTATTTACTAACAATCTCTAATAAATAAAAAAAAACCTATTTTACTTTGAACCTAAAAATCTCTCTCATTAAATTGCAAAGTTTGCGGATAAGTCTTCACTGAGGGCAGATTTTCTGAATATGCTGTCAAAAGAAATTCCCAACTTATGAATATGCCGGGAGTAATTTCCCTATGCTTCTATTCTAATCTCATGCAAAAGATAGTCGTACCTTCTAGTTGTCTTCAAAATGAGAACCAGTTATGGACCCTTTTCCTTTTTATGGCATTTTAGGCTCCTACTGACCTACAACTTCATGGTTGAGGTTGACCCAGCACCCACTAAATCCTCAGATATTCTGTGTTCCGATTCGGATATATTAATGGTGTCCGAACAGTTGGATAATGACAGGTGTGACTGGGTGCTGTAATATTCGAAAGGGGGTGATAGATTGGTGGCAGTGAGGAGCTTAGCAAAAGCTGAGCAATCTGTTGCTAATGATACAAATGAACTCAAGTAAGGTTCGCTGACGCTGGAGGGATGAATTGATGGTTCTCGGATCAACTACAGTGTTTGAGTTCATAACACATTCTCGTTTTATTTCCACGCACAACAGTGACAGCATAAGCCAGATTCAAGAACATTTCTCTCATAAATCATGGTGAACCGTGTAAAACTATCAACAAACCCATGTCAGGATGTTGAAGTCTTGAAGCTCTTAAATTAGTGATTGATTATATGCACAGAAGAAGCTGACAACTGAAGGAAAATATCATGTTGTTCATGATAACATTTCAATTAATAACCGTTAAGCTGATCACCAATACATTAATCAAGGGACAAAAAAAGGCAATATATAAAAGTGCTACGTCGAATAAGTCCAAATGGATAACACCGCAGATTCCCCTATATATCTAGCAAAACTTTCCATGCTGCATTCACATGCTTCTCTTCAGTCAATGGGGCACCTACGGCAATCATCATAAGCTGATGCTTTTAGATAACATGCTGCCATGCCCAAACACACAAAGAAGTAAATCCCACATCTCCTTTTTCTTGGAGAAAGAACAAGATACGAGGCATCCCATCAACACATACCATAGGCACTTCAAAGTGGAATTCATAACCCTGAAGAGTTTTTGTCTGGGATCTTCCGTGTTCGGTAATCACTATAAACTTTGATTAATTTTAAATCGAATCAAATCGAATTTTATAAGAGAGACAAACTTTTTCAATGTTTATTTTTTTTTATTTACAAAATTTAAAATCAAAATTTTTCTTAAGAAAAATTAAACTATTTAGACTAACAAGTGTTGGTATAACCTTGTAGAATTTACAGCATGATATCCTTATTTTGGCATTATAGAGATGGTTTAATATGTTATGCAAATAAATAAATATAAAAAATAAAATATTATAACAATGATTGTTTAAAAATCCTCTGTTATTGATTTTTTTTTTCATTTTGATAAAAAAATAGTTAGAAAATGGTAAATTGAGATATAAGTTATTTCAATAGAATCACTAGAGATTCACTGGTTTTTGACAATATTAAAATTTTAGTTTTAAGTTAAATCTAACTAAAAATATTTATTTATTTAAATAAATAATCTTTTGAGACATGCTCATCCTATATCCAAAAAATGATTTATCCATAACCGAAACAAACCGGGCTGGGCTTATAACCTGTCACACCTTAAGAAAGCGTAAGGTTCCAAAAAAACCCAAAATCCATCGATAAATTGAAATACTGACCACAGCCCAGGCTTAACCGGTATGCAAAACCCAGACAACTGCTAAGCCCGATGGCCTTTTGTTTCGTTTCCGTCGTTCAAGTCAACTCGAATACAAGAAATTTCGCGTTCATGGCCGCTAAACCAGACAAGTAAAGCTATAAATCCTCTGCTGATTAAAAAATAAACATTTTTGAATTCGAGCGAACCGCGAAGGGAAAAAGAAAATGGAAGACGACGCAGATATTTACGACGGAATTAGAGCTCAATTCCCTCTCACTTTTGGTAAGCAACAAAAATCCCAAACCTCTCTCGAAGCCATCCACAACGCCACTCGCCGTTCCACCACTGCTGCCGCCGCCAGTAATAATAATAAAAGCAGTGAAGGCCTCCCTTCTCTTTCCTCCTCCTCCTCCAAAGCTTGGCTTGATTCCCTCCGCAATTCCAAACCTCCCAACCCTAACCCTAATGACTCCGTGATTGGCCCGCCCCGTCCGCCTCCTGGTCCAGTCCCTGATGAGGATGATGATGGCGTCATGGTGGGCCCTCCTCCACCGCCTCCAGCTTCAGGTGATGATGACGATGATGACGTCATGATTGGGCCACCACGGCCGCCGGTTGGGCCCAGTTCAGACTCAGAATCGGAGGAGGAGGAGGAGAACCGGTATCGGATTCCAATGAGCAATGAGATTATTCTCAAGGGACATACTAAGGTAATTTATTTAATTCTAATTTCTCAAGGGTAAAAAGTGATTTAAGCTCTAATTATTAAAATAATGAAATCCTAATTATGTTTAATGCTTTCAGATTGTTTCAGCTCTTGCAATTGATCACTCTGGATCTAGGGTTCTTTCGGGTAGTTATGACTATACCGTTCGAATGTTTGACTTTCAAGGGATGAATTCTCGGTTACAATCATTTAGACAGCTTGAACCATTTGAAGGCCACCAAGTTCGTAATCTAAGCTGGAGTCCCACCTCCGACCGCTTTTTGTGTGTCACTGGCTCTGCTCAAGCAAAGGTTACTTCTTGCATTAGTTCACTAGTCCTTTTTGAGGTTATAGTATTGATTGGTTGGTTGCTCATGGTTGTACTCTAATTTCCATTTTAGATATATGACCGAGATGGGCTTACTTTAGGTGAATTTGTAAAAGGGGATATGTATATTCGGGATTTGAAGAATACTAAGGGACATATATCGGGGTTGACTTGTGGAGAGTGGCATCCCAAAACCAAGGAGACAATTTTGACATCATCTGAAGATGGTTCGCTTCGTATATGGGATGTTAATGACTTCAAAAGTCAAAAGCAGGTCTATAATTTTCTTATGGTTGTTGATCATTCTGAAAGGAGATTATATAAAGAAAATGCTTCAATTGTTTATTATGCAGGTTATTAAACCAAAACTTGCAAGGCCTGGAAGAATTCCGGTTACAGCATGTGCATGGGATCGTGAAGGGAAATGCATTGCAGGTGGAATTGGGGATGGCTCTATACAGGTGCTAACACTTCTTTTGTGTTGACTTATTGCAAGCTAAAATAGGTTGGTGTTGTGTAATTACTTCTATTTTCTCACAATCGCATGTTTGGTTGAATTATCTTGCAGATATGGAACCTTAAGCCTGGATGGGGAAGCAGACCTGATATATACATTGAAAAAAGTCATTCTGATGATATTACTGGGCTTAAGTTTTCTAGTGATGGAAGAATTTTGCTGTCCAGAAGCTTTGATGGTTCACTCAAGGTAATTAGCACAGATTGTTTGGATGAATGGTGAAATCCCTCCCAACGCAAAAGGCAAAAAGATCCGTTCTAGAATCTTGATATTTGTTATGAATTATATGTCAGGTTTGGGATTTACGCCAAATTAAAGCCCCTCTTAAGGTGTTTGATGATCTTCCAAATCACTACGCCCAAACAAATATTGCATTTAGTCCTGACGAGCAGCTCTTTCTTACTGGAACATCTGTTGAGAAGGAAAGTACAACTGGAGGTTTGCTGTGCTTTTATGATTGTTCAAAATTTGAACTTGTTCAAAGAGTTGGGGTATCCCCGACTTGTAGTGTTGTGCAGTGTGCTTGGCACCCAAGATTAAATCAGGTATCCACACTCTGGTCCCTCTGTGCATTATCCTAATCACACCTATCAGGCACATGCATGGTTAAAAAGTATGAACTGATAAATAATGTATAATATTAATACACTAATGTAGTTGTTTCTGTTTTAAGATATTTGCAACTGCTGGAGACAAAAGCCAAGGTGGGACTCATGTACTGTATGATCCAACCCTTAGTGAGAGGGGAGCTCTTGTTTGTGTTGCACGTGCTCCTAGGAAGAAATCTGTTGATGATTTTGAGGCACTGCCTGTGATTCACAACCCTCATGCGCTACCATTATTCAGAGACCAACCAAGCCGTAAGCGTCAAAGGGAAAAGATACTGAAGGATCCTCTCAAGTCACATAAGCCTGAACTTCCCATAACAGGACCAGGATATGGTGGAAGAGTTGGTACAACCAAGGGAAGCCTGTTGACTCAGTACCTTCTAAAGGTAATGGTGTTTCTTCTCTCCAAAAACTTACCTCTCTGGTGCTTCTTAAAATGTCAATGTTGTATAACTAAAGCTGGTGGGAGAGACTTATTTATTGGCTCTCATTGCAGCAAGGGGGAATGATCAAGGAAACATGGATGGAAGAAGATCCTAGAGAAGCTATACTTAAGTACGCTGATGTTGCGGCAAAAGATCCCAAGTTCATTGCTCCAGCATATGCTGAAACCCAGCCCGAATCTATTTTTGCAAAGTCAGATTCTGAGGATGAAGAGAAATGATCTGATTTTGGTGTTGTTTCATTCTGCTTAATAAAGGATCTATTTTAGTATTTTTCCTTTTGTAAATGATGATTATCGAATGATTGATGGTTACACACACACATCAGTTTACTAACTGTCAACGTTCTGACTTTTGCTCTTCTTTGGCAGCTGGTCTGTATAATCTCTAAGTCACTGAGGTCTAATACGGGCTACTGCAGAAATCATTGAACTGAACTGGTTATCATAGGGTGTAATCAAGCCGATACAGTGAGAAGTTGGAGTTTGGGTTCGACTCACAATTCGAGGCTCGATATTCGATTCGAATTTGATTAAGTTTTATTTTTCAAGCTTGAGCTCGATTCGTATATTCGACAAAAGTTTAATTATTTATGCTTGAATTCGAATTCGGATTCGAAATATTTTATTAATTAAAATAATAAAAATATATTTAAATATAAAAATTTGATTAGGCTTACGAGTTATTTGAGTCGGATATAAGAATACTCGAATTTGATTCGATCGATAAGTCGAGTTATTCGAGTTCGATTCGATAATAATTTAATCGAATTCAAATTTTTTTCGAATTGAATTCAAATAGCTTGTGAATACTAATATATTATTTATATTATTAATTCAAAAAATGCAATTATTGTCTGTCTTTGTTAAAATTCTAGTTTTGGCGGAATGGTGTGTAAATTTGACTATCTACATGATTGATTCCCGTTGCCCTACCAATTGTAGGATTCACTATCAAATTAATTTGTCTTTGGAAGTAATTTCTGTTGTAAATGTCAATGGGTGGTCAACTGTTCATGATGAAAGCATAATGATTCTTACTACTAATCGGGATTGTTGCATCCATTCTTTTCCTTTCAATCTTACTTCGAACTGCCATAAACAGATAGTTCCCTTGAATCACTTAAGAATTTATCTGTTGCTTGTTTAACCCTTTGATCTATAGCCATATAATACTTTTATGGTATGCCTATATATAACCTGAGTGATCAATACTATTTAGCTTGGGCTCTTCACTAAACAGTTTTGTTATTTATTTTTTCACAGGATAGATCCATGTGCCTACTGCCTATGGTAAGCATTGTGAAAAATGTTGGCAAGTACATTGAAAAGCTTCTGATTGGAGCTTCATGGAAGGGAAATGGTATAAAAATGGAAATTCAAGAAAAATATAGCGGTAATCATTCGTATAAATTTTATGAATGACAGGTTAGTTTTTCAACGCTTGTAGAGGTTAGTTTAGTCTGTGACGCTCGGCACTCGGTTTCATCCTAATGATAAATTGTATCCCAGTAGGAGAGAATTTGTATGGAGTCCTTTGTAATTGCAGCTTCAAAGCCATCTCAAATTACCCTGGGCGACGTTTGTCTGTTACATCTCTTAGCGTCTGTTAATAGGCAGCAAAATGCATGTGTATCAATGAAAGAAGCTAAGCAATCGACACATGCACGTGTATCAATGGAAAGAGCTAAGCAATCGTCCAATCGACACGTGAATGTTGTATCACCGAAAGAAGTGAAGCAACCGTGGCATGCATGGGCCACCTGATGAATTTAGTAGCACGGCGGTACTAATCATGCTTCATTAGAGTAACGCAAGATCAAATTGACTGAAAAGTGGACTAAGTGAATGAATACTGATCTTGTAGCTTCGTTACATCTACTCTTGAAAACTGATTTGAACTGGACTGGATGAAAATTATCTCTTCACATGCCATAAGCAGCTAACAAAATGCCCCCCAACATTTCTGCCTTTATCACAAAGGCTTGTCAACCATATTTTTAAATGAAAGCAGGTTTATACACTACTCGTAGATTAGCAAATGCAACAAAAAGTACGAAGATGAAATCCAATTATGAAGCCATTGCAGCGGCTCAAGCACCTTCCTCTTCCGAAGCAAAGAAAGCATGCGACTCTTAAGCAACAGATGATTCCAGATCATTCAAACTAAATATATATTGATCAAGTATATGAGTTGCTCTATAAACTGTTCAATTAAACTATTGACATTTACAAGGTTTTGTAAGTTAAACCGATCTCTGATTTCCTAAGCATCACATCCCCCTAAAAGATTAGGATGATGACAGTTGTTTGCTGTCTGCACTATGCAGTACAACAGACATATCACTAACGTGTGGAATTCCCGATTATTATTACCATTATGTTACAAAAATCATTTTGGCAACCTTTTGCTGCAAGTGAGTTCACCTTTTTATGGCTCTGCACCTATTGTGATTCAACATGGCTTAGGGTCACTACCGATGGTTTCAGAGGCCATCAACCCTCGGGCTAAAGAACTTTGTACCTGATGGACTTTTGCATCTAGGAAATTTCACCCGATGCAACATACCTGTTAATGGAATTAAGTTAATGCTCATTTTCAAAGCTTGACAAACGAGAGTCTGATAGAATGGTGAATAGTTGTGTGTCTACAAATAGCTGCAAACAACAAAAAAAGAGCAACGAATAAGCAATAGAAGCTGCGCAATTACCAAGTTTAACAAATTATTTTAATTATAAAGATCTAAGATTTAAGTTAATTTAATATCCTTCAAACTTATTTTATACATGCTTTGAATTCACTAGCAAACCAACTGCTATGAAAATCACTAATTGAACATGAAATCCAGAAAGTAAGAAAAAATTATAAATGTGTTCCATCATATCTAGTGTTGCAATTTTGTAATTTATGGTTCTACGCATTATGACATGCGATTTTCTTTCCCTTTTATCTTTTTCATGCCAGGGAACAACTCAGAGAAAGTTTTGCTCCTAAGCTTCAAACAACAATCCAGCACTTGCTTCTTTGGCTTCATATACCGAAATGAAACGTTCACTATACTAGCTCTTGCAAATGCTAATCTTAATAACCTTTCTCAAAGTTTCTTGCCCTTTTTCGGCTAGGTGTTCTACATCCACAGATGGTTTCAATCATTTTAGCATCAATATATAACAATGCATCAGTCAGCGTTTTAGCTGGCAAAATGGTGGGGTTTGGAGTTTAGGCATCATGCTTTGTCAATGTGGATAAAATGTACCTATTTCAATTGATACCACATGAAAAAACAATAGCATACGCTCTGCTAAATGCGCATGTCCCAGGATTCCTGTAGTTGAACCTCATCCTTAAGTGTGTGTTGTGTAATTCTATCTATTCAATCAACAGGGGACTAAATCACACATTAACATTAGAATGGATGCGTAGAATGCTTTGCAAGTAGCAACAATTAGTTTGGATTGAGTTTAAACTAAAAGATGTAAACCATTAAAGTAAAGAACAGAAATAACCTCAATAAATGGTTGGTCCTTACTAGGAAAAGAGTCAATAAAGATATCTTTAAGTAGTAAGGAAACCTGGAAAATAATCAAACACATAAAAGAAGCTGAAAAAGATCTAGCAGTTATGCAGTGATTTATTATGAAAGAAACTGGAGTAACAACATAAATTATAAGAATAGAAGTGCCAACCCTGTCATAGTTTGATTGTACACCAGTAATTGTATGAGACCTCAGATTTGCACAAAGTGACTCCAGGTATTGCCTCATGACTGTCAAAATTTGGGTTGCAGCTTCAGCCTAAACAGGTAAAACTTATATTAGTTGCTGCCAAAAGATGAAAATGAAAAGTATAGATGGAAGGATGGCAAAGGTAAGTAAAAAACAAAATGCAAAGAAAACAAGTTAGATGGTAAAATCTCTCCAGATTATTCCCATAACTATTAAAACAAAATTTTAGAATAATCTGAATTAACCCTCGACCTAAAGTAATCCTGTTAAAACATTGGTTATAGTGAATTAATCTGAATTCATTCATAAGATCTTTGGTTAAAATCTTGACATATTCTAAGAAAGATAAAAGTTTCTAACTATTAAAACAAGTGGGCATGCAAGTAGAAACATTAAGCATTTGGTTATGGTGATCAGTAAACACCTGCACTTCATTGCACCTATAGGTAGGATGCTTTTTAGCAATTGAACCTTCAAATGAGAGCCTGGCATGTATTGACCCTAGTTCAGATACAAGCTCTTTATGTCGAGGAAGTGTAGGCAAGTGACATGTTCTCACCTGAATAACAGTTAAAAGAACAACTAAGAATACCCAGAGTTAGGGCGAAACACTTCAAGCAATCCTCAAATTTATGAAATTTCCTTACAAATTGTTCAAGAGTTGGAGAGAGTGGAGAGAAATGAGACATATTACTAGGGCACCAAATTACAGTCCGTATAAAACATTATGAACTGTAAGTAAATCCCACCAAATTTTATAACAATTTTATTCCAGCACTATAGATCTCGGAACCAAACACGCAAACTATGTTTAGAAACCATAAATACCTGGTTCTTGACCAAATTAACTTGAACAAGATTAGATGTTTTCATTTTCAAATCAGTGGGTTTGTGTTGTATGCCAACCTACAAAGTCAAAGAAACAAAATGCTAAATCAGGGCATTTCCATTACTTCCACTAAACATATGCTATTATAACATTCTTTGCATATGGAAATATGTAATGTGATGTCTTTATATTGTATGTTCATTCATACATAATATAGAAAGAGCTTTGACCTGTTTAAAAAGCCAAAAAAGAATCCCTTTGTGTTTGCGCAGGCGTGTGATATCAAAGAGATTCCTTTTGTCTTTCTCATGCAGGTTAAAGCTCTTCTCTTACAATCTAATGCTAAGTGTCGGCACAATTTAGAATTTCATGCATCATAGCATCTTTTTTATTAACATCCAAAAAGACACTATAACTCACAAGAAAAGGAACAGGTGCATCAAGAAAATCAATCATTGTCATCGGCAGTACCTAAATGCAATTTGAGAATTTCACAAAATGAGAAATAACAGATCATATCAGATTACTAAAAGCACGATATCTAGAAGAATTGCAAAATGCAATTTGCAACTAACAGTTAATCATCTGAAATGCAATCTGCCACTAAGCATAAACTACTCAACCTTTTCTTTTTCCTTTTTCCCCTTTTCCTAGTGAGAAAGAGTGACGAAAAACAGACTCTTTTGAAAGAGGAAAGGATCAATATTAACAAGTTACAGCACTTTCATATGGCTTCTCTCGTGTTATCACCATTTAAGATCTTAGGGATTTAGTCTAAATGCAATAAAACTATGACCACCGCCATGTGAAACAATTTTCACAAATGATTTTTCCCAAGTTGTTCTCATAAGTGGTCTACAAACTAAGAAACTTGAATCTTTTACATAACAAAATCCTATTGTTGACAATCTTCAACAGATTTTTGGCAGAACTTATAGAACTATCATATGCCAGATCAGCTGATCCATTTTCCCTTTCTACAAACCTGGTTTTT